TATTATTATTAATATTATTATTATGGCAGTATATTACGCACGAATGCCTAGGTTACTGCAGTGACTGGGCCTGAGGTCACGTGGCCAGTCACTGGAATCTCTTTAAACAAAACCTAATAAACTCTTAACTAAAACTTACTGAGTTAAAATAATCAAAAATAAGAAATATTAAGAAATTCTATAAAAAATATCACAATAAATATTAAGTGCAATGTCTCAAAATCCTGTTGTCTGCCTATCTAGAAATAGATATATAGATATATATGTCGCTCAATGTTTGCCCGAGTCTTTTTATATTTTGATATAATGTTATATCAGTGTGAAGAGCTGGACTCGTGTTTTGAGCTATTAACTTATTTTACAAATATGTTTTCATCGATAAATAAGTAATTTGTACATATATTTGTTATTTTATATTCATAATCTCATTATTGTTTTATTATGGCTCAGAAGCCTTTACTTTGAATCTGTTTTGACAGTGTATGGGGAAATGTGAACTCTTACTGCAACAATCACAAATGGGATGTCTTTGTACTATGATGTATATATACAAAAACAATCTATACAAAAATAATATAACTTTATAGTTACAGTAAAAACCCACATAAAAGAACACCCATTTTTGGAGTTGAGGCTGATTTTGTTCTTATTTAACTGGTGTTTACTGAAAAATCAGCCTGAAGGTGTTCTTAAGGTGTTCTAAAAATAAATGTTTCTAAAATATATATTACAGTATTACTATATAGACTACCAATATGTAGATGATATCAATGTGTAAGTTCAAAAATGTTATTTTAAAAAATCTTGACTGCAATAATAACTGTACCAAAACAGTAGAAAAAGAAATATTGTCGGGTCAGGCTTGGAGTCTGCTACTGATAATACTGTAATCGAAACCGTCTCCATCCCCCCCCCCCATCAGCGTATACAACAGTACTGATGAGGAGGCATAAATATTGATCTTGTTTTTTTAAAAGGACACTTTCTAATTTTTCAGGCTGATTGTGTTCTTATTTATATGGTACTTAAAACGCCCAAATTCAGGCTGGGTGTTCTTAACCCACTTGTTCTTTTCAGGTTTTTACTGTACTCCATATCTTTATTCATCTATAATCAGCTAAGCTATATTGGAGATGTAACTGAATGGATTTAATTTTTCTTTCACCCCTTTTTACTCATCCTTGACGCCTTTTTTCACATCCTTAATGCCTTTTTCTTCCTAACAGTGATAGAAAGGTTCTGCTAGGAAGATGTCATGAAGCAACACAAAAAGTATCCTGTAAAAGGTTCAACAGGAAAGTAAGTAACATAATTATTTTAAAAACCTTTTCTTTTATTCCATTCTCAACCCGCCAAGTTAAGACTGCGTAATATTTTATTAGAAGGTGTGCAGGACCTTTGATTAGTTTAAAAGCTTTGTTTTGATCATATAAAGTTTGAAATGTTAATGACTATTTAAATCCAGCTACCTTTGACAAAACCCCATCTTTATCTAACAATTTTGCTATGGACTTTTATGGCCTCAAAGTGCCACTAAACATATATTTGCTTCATTCTTGGTTTATTCTCAACAACAAACGTACAACCAACAACAAAGAACGAAAAAGAAAAACTGTTYTTCRTAGAACTGATTRCACGAAGCTTAAYCTAGTTAATTAGTTTTAAAAGTTTGTATTTTGTACTTTATAGTTTACTATTAATAATTGGATATCGAAATTAATAATTGGATATCGAAATAGACTCAAGAAGTAGTCGAGGCATATTATATATTAATCAATTTCCTAATATACAGAGTAGTCGCAGAGCACGATAGTAGAGTTAGCAAAAAGCGTTTTGGATTACTTCGAATGTTTAATTTGAAACAGTAGCAACTATATTACTGCAAGAGATTATTTAACATAGAAAATCTCCAGATGAACTGAAATCTTGTCCCGCAAACAGCTATGTGTTTTAAAGAGTACTGCAAGGATTAATAGGCACTTTTATTGTATTTTCGACAGGCATTAAACAATTGAAACAATTTATAAGCAATTTTCCGTGATCACAGTTTTAATTCTGAGATATTCTAGCAAATGTTTTGACCTTGCAGTACATAGCAGCGGTAACTCTKGGAAGGAGAACGAAGTTATCCCTCTCTTTGAGCGAGACATTAACGGGAAACAGTCTGCCATGGTGCCTGTGATATAGGGGACCTGCTAAGGTTGCAATATCTTTTTCATAGAGAGTAAACTAATTCTTTTCTCGCAACGACAAACAAAATAAGCTTCTGATTCTTCAACATATATATTCCCTTTTCTTAGATTTAGGTTTGGGTGGCATTATGCAAGTGTACCACAGTAATCAGTGGGGAACCGTGTGTGCATATTATTCTTATCACTTTGATATGAATGATTCCAAGGTCGCATGCCGTCAACTTGGTTTTACCAAAGCTGTAGGATATTGGTGGAATGGACCGCTGCAACGGTCACACGTTGGATGCTGGTGTATCACTATATGTATTTGAACACAACATATGTAAATTGCACACTTTTCATTGTCACTCCGTCATCTCGGTTGCATTTCTGTTACTAGGAAGGTTAGTAATTTGACCCGCTTTGTAACAGGTACCATCACTCAGTTTATTGAATAACTTATTAGATTACGACCCCATTTATCTTTAACTCCAAATTTCCAAACGGCGCAAGGGTTCAAATCGCTAAGTTTCAAATATTTAATTATTGTTCACTGATATGTTACCCTTTGTTATAGTGTTTACTAATATGCTTAACTAGGCAATGTATGTTTGATTATTAGTTTTAGGTCTGATCTTTTATTTGTAGTTTTATTATTTCATAACTATATCGCTCAAAACAAAGCCTTACCACAACTATCAGTTATGCAATCAATCAAGACATTTTAATTAGAAAAGACAAACAACAGTATTTCATCTTAACATAATATTACATATTCAAAGTTTCGGTGCCAGAGCAATGTGCACCACAGTGGCCGTCAGTAATGCAATCAATCAAGRCATTTTAATTAGAAAAGACAAACAACAGTATTTCATCTTAATATACATATGACATATTCAAAGTTTCGGTGTCAGCGCAATGTGTACCACAGTGGTCAATGGGGAACAGTGTGTCATTACAGTGGTCACTGGGATATGAATGATGCAAAGGTCGCATGTCGTCAACTTGGTTTTGCCAAAACTGTAGGATATTGGGTCTATGGACAAGGGACGGGTAAAGTATGGCTAGACGACATGCAATGCACAGGCTCAGAATCCTCAATTGGAAGCTGTACTCACGATGGATGGGGAAACGTTTACTCTGGGTGCAACAATCACCAATGGGATGTTGGTGTCGTACAATTTATGATTTACAAAACCTAAGTGAATAAAGCTAAAGTGGTATAATGACTATTTTTTCAGTCCTAACGGTTGTAAATTAGTGAAATCATGGTTAGATTTAGGACATTAACAGCACTTAGTCCATTGAATGACTGAAATGAATAAGTTYACTTTTCAGATCAACGGGTTTGTCAGTGCTTAGTTCCAAATATAAAAAAGTGACATCTAACGTGCCGAGTTGGATTAATAATAGGTTGAAATAGATTAAAGGAGTGGTGAAAGTTTAACATATGTAAATTGAGTTCGTGATATCCGTGAGTAGTCCAAAAGTACGATGGTAGAGCCAAAAGCATTTGGTCTCCTTCGATTATTTGAAACGTAGAGCCAAAAGCATTTGGTCTCCTTCGATTATTTGAAACAATAGCGGTTAGGAATGCTTACTCGAAAATTCATGCTTTCAAGAGCTTTAAAGTATGCAGCTAAAATTTTGAATACTGAATAATGTATAAGAACAGCGCATTCCAAGACCAAAAAGCATTATTGATCTCGTTTCGAAATAAAATGTTAACATACATCGTCGATTGGCTCTCTATAAGTAGCTAGTATATCACAATTATGGTTGATGCATATAGAATAGTGTCTTATGATTGGAGTATTGATTCTTTGAGGTTCAGGATCATTTTCTTATTCTCTGTTATGCGAGCTGTTCTAAACTACCGATAATGTTAAACTTTTTTCAAAGTGAAATACACGACTCTTGGTGAMRAATCGATTTATKTTTCCTTTATCCTTAGTTTAAACTCTGATTACGACCAMCTCATAACAAGGCACCCRACYTATGCTATCATCAAAGCTTGAACTTAATATATGAAGGAAACGATTGAGAGATTTTAAACAACAATTATCTTTGAACTTTATCTCTTCATTATAACTTTAAAAAATAAAATATGTTAGCATTCTGAGATGAAATTTTTATTTTCTTATTAACTTGCGCGAGTATGTACGTATGTTCATCTTGTTCGAGCGAAGTTTATTATTTGTTTTGTGCCACCACAGTCGCTGCCTATTGGGAACAGTGTATCATTGGAATTGGTGTGACGTTGGTGTCGCCTCAATATTCATAGACAGGAGTCAACAAACTGTTTCACACTTATTACATATAGTGAATTGATGAACCCAACAAAAATGACCGTTCGCCAACAGGATTGGCTTCATAGCTAAGGTTGGTAGAGCATCGCACCGGCATCGCGTCATCGCATCATTTTTTCAAGTCTTTCTTTACAGCGTTCGCTTAGRTCGCTCATTCACTGTGATGATCAACACATTTCTATCATTCTTAGGTTTTGTTCAAGGCTGAATCCTGTTCTTTTTCCACAATAAGCCAACCAATAAATATATTAAAATTATTTCCTCAAGAACCTTTTTATTTTTTTCTTGCTTTCACCAAGGCTGTGGGATATTGGTAGAATATGGCTGAACTATATGCAGTGTTCATATTTCGGAGATTTTGTTGTATGCATAACGGCTAGGGAAACGTTGACTTGGGGATGTTTGACTTCTCAACGCCTATTATCCATATACATTTTAAAATATAAAACAAAAATTATAATATAAATATAAAATCAAACATGGTCATTGGGGAACAGATTGTAACATTTGGTAACAGTGTGCAAGGAATCGCATAATAGGATTTGGTTGACTTGCTTTCGCTAAAACTTTTCCGGACTTTGTGTGTGATTGCGCAGGTGGTTATTGGTACTGGGATACGAAAGATGTTAAGGTTGTATGTCGACAACTTGGTTTACCAAAGCTGTAGGAGTTTGGATCTATGGACAAGGAACGGGTAAAGTATGGCTGTACCGCATGGGATGTTCCGGTTCAGAGACGTCACTTGGAAGTTGTTCTCACAACGGATGGGGAAACGTTTACTCTGGATGCAACAGTCACACATATGATGTTGGGATCGTTTGCGGTACTAACTGAAGCGAAAAAATATTAATTTTATTTTTCTTATGTCTTGTCGATAACTTACGTCGTCGATTGGCTCTCTGTATGTATCTAATATCTTGTTTCGGATGCAGTGCACCAAAACTAAAATGAGTTATTATTATTTATTTTTCTTTAGACAATATTACATAAGACCATTAATGCATCTCGGTCTTGGAATACGCTATTTCAATAAATCAATCAATTTTTAAATGATCTATTTTAGTTATCCTCTCTGGATAACCAGTCTGCATGTTATTCCCAATATAAGTCAAGAACAACTATGAAGGCCTTGATTGGTATAACTCCAAGTGGAGCCACAGCTTTTGTCAGTGAGATGTACCCAGGAAGCATATCAGATAAGGAGATAGTGAAAAGAAGTGGTTTGCTGGATACCTTGCAGTCTGGTGATGAAATCATGGCAGACAAAGGGTTTTCAATTAGGCATGAGTTAGGATCTGTTGGAGCCACATTTGTTATGCCCAGATTTCTACAAAGCAAGAAGCAATTTAACATTGAGGAGGCAGCGCATAACAAGAAGGTTGCAAGTCTACGGGTTCACGTCGAACGGTGCATGGAGCGAATTAAGAATTGGCATATCTTAGACAGGAAACTTACCATTAYTTCAGCTCCACTTGCTTCAGACATAGTTATTGTTTTGTCAGCTTTCACCAATTTTTCACCCCCTTTAATATCTTAATTCATTCATTTTTTCAAAATAGAGGGGTTTTCAATTTACTTGCAAATGCACTCCAACTTTTTTGTGTTGAATTTATGACTTTAAGAACAGTGTTTACGCTCCAACCATTTTAGATTTATTTTTATTTTATTTTATGTACATTCTTATAAAAAAAGGTCAATGAATGATTGTTTCAGAGTATCCACTGTAAAAACTATCATAATAAAAACAAAGTTCAATTCTACTGAAACTGCATATAAATGAATTACAAAAGTAGTAGTTGCAAATGAAAAATTAACAAATGCTTCATGACAGTTTATTACTAACATTTTCCAATGGTTTTCAGATAAGTGTCAATAAGTTGTTTAGAAGTGGTTTCATAGTAAATTAGGATAGTTATCATGAAACTAGATCTAGATTTGTCTTGAAGTTGTTTCCATATTTAAAATTCGTCGTCCCTGTCCATACTTTATACTAGGATACACAATTTCTGGAAGCATGTACTTATCAAAMAATAACTTTTAAGTTAGCTTAAAAGCTTAGGGAGGACTTCATCCCAAAAAACAGAATTAAACTTAGCTCTCTCTATTTACAGTGTGCTATCCAATGAGCCCTTTACAACAAAATCATTCCATGTCTTGCCTGTTACAAACATCTGATGTTGGACTTGATAATAATATTTGTGCTTTGTATTAACTTCAACACAATCATTGATAGAGACACAAATTCTCTTTCGTACTAGTGCATCTGCGAGTGTTTCGGACTCATCTACTTGAATGAACTTTATTTCCAGCAAACCAGTCGATTCAGAGTTACCATCATGTTTAGTGATTAAGCTATCGGGACTTGCCCCAAGGAAACCATGTGTTGAACTAACAAAAAGGCCACAATCTTTCACAGCAACACTTAGACCATTCTTCTCTTTCTCTTTGATGTATTCATTGATTATAATTGGCTCTTGTTTAAGACCATCTTCCATTGCTTTTGAGGAATAACCTTTCTTGTAACCCAAAACTTCTTCAACTGCTTTTGTTGGTGAAGTTGATTGTTTTAGTGAGGCACAACGGTAAGCCTTAGAGGCAGTGATCCTGTATTTTCTATGGTTAAACCATTCACTACACTGCGATTGCTTTCTAGTTTGAAGCTCAATGTTGTGTACTTTTTCTTCTGTTATTTGTAGTTTATCAATGACAGCTTCACATCTCTTCTGGATTTCTGATAGAGATACAGGATGGACTTTAATTGGAGAGATCAAGTTGAAATCACTGATTGACTCTTTATCATCTGTAGGTTGACCATCACTTCTTAATGGCTCATCATCATCATTAGGGGGCAGTTTGGAATAATTATGGTCTAAGCTTACAGCACCTTTGATGTTATCTGTTGTATGTCTTTGTAAGATATGACTAAGACCAATAAGTTTACCAGTCTTGTCTTGAAAATCAATAACTTTAGAGTAAATGTTATAAAGTTTTGTATTCTTGTTAGTGTCAGTGTTGTGGTGACTAGCTGGTCTCACATCAYGTCCAGGTGAAATAACTGGATGTCTTAACTTCTTCTCTTTTCCATGCTCATGTTTACGGAACTTAAAATTTGCAATCGGTACGAGATCAATTTTGCGCTTCCTAGGTACATTCCATTTGCATTTTTGAGAAGTAGACGCCTCTTCATTTTCTTGCTTCTCCCTGACTTTACAGAACTCCTCTAGGGAGAACAGTGTTGCTGCAACATGGTTACAGCGTCCATCTATGCCAGCTGGGCATCCACAGCATGCTTTCTGCACAAGACCATTACTTCTTACTACTATTTGACATAAATATGCAGATGATTTCTTCATAGATGGCAATACTTGTGGCTTGATAAAGTATCTTGTTCCATTTTCACCATTGCATGATTTCACAGTCAAAACATGTCCTGATTTGTAAAAATTGAAGCCTTTGACCAACGGTTTAGCAGTGGATAACTGCTTTTTAGCGCCAACACAAGTAACCATATAAGTCCAAACAGTCTTAAATGTGATATTTGGAAGCCCATCAAGCGATTCAGTAAACCCAGTAGTTGGTAACAACGATGTACAATCAGGAGTATGCTCCTCTAAAATGCCAAGTTCTGCTTTCTTTAGCGCCAGGTGCACGCCACCATCAGGATCTCGTAATTCTTTCTTATCGAGTCCACATTTCATGTAATTCTTGACCCTAAAGATCAATGAAGCAAAATGTAAGCATAAACTATCGATTAAACAGCATTCATAATGCGAATAGTTCGTGATTCATCAATCAAAACATTTAAGGAGGCCAACAAAGCTTCAACTAACCTTGAAACAAGTTCGACTTTTCTTCCCGTTGTACAGGCACCTCGACATGTCAACCACCTTTTCAGCTGCACAACACTACATAATTCTGGACTTTTTTGAGGTAGTAGAGCCCCTGGAATGTCTGATTCAGTCAGAATATTGCTCAAATTTACATTACTAGTAGTTAAAGACGCCATTTCGTTCATGCTTATGTAAAAGCCGTCTACCCACGCTCTCTCCAGGCCTAACACGGCCATTCTAGTGCCCAGGGCGCCACTCGATTTTGTAGCGGGCAATCTAGTTGAGTTGTGGAAATCATTAATGTAAAGTAAAAAGAGAAGAGGTCCCAGAATTGAACTCTGTGGAACCCCACAATTGATTTGTAACGAGTCTGATTTAATATCTCCTATAATAACATATTGTTTCCTTTTAACCAAGTATGATCTAAACCAGTCATATGCTATTCCTCTTACACCATAATATTCTAGTTTTTTGTAGTAGTATCTTGTGGTCAACTGTATCGAAGGCTTTACTAAGGTCTAGGAAAATTCCAGATGCATAATATCCGCTATCGATAGATTTCTGGATTTTATCTGTGATTAAGAGTATTGCCATTAAAGCAGAGTGATGACTTCTGAAACCCAGTTGTTTATCATACAGTAAATTATGTTTGGTAATAAAATTTAATAATCTCTTATACATTAATCTTTCAATTATGCGATTAAATACAGACAATAAAGATATCGGTCTATAATTATCAAGGCTAATATGAGAGCCCTTTTTAAAGATAGGGATGACACAGGCCAGTTTGAAAAAGAAAAATTAAAGATTGACTGGAGGGGTTTAGATATTCTATCTTTTATTAATTTTAGTATATAGACTGGTATGCTATAAGGGCCGACAGCTTTGGTAGGATTTAATTTATTTATTTCTTTTCTATTTCTTTGGTTGAGACCGGATTAATTTAAAAATGAATCTTGAATTTTTGAAGGCATGAAACTCATAGGAGATTTATTGACTGAAGGAATGGTTGAAGTAAGATTATGACTAATGTTAATTAAAAAATGATTAAAAGCATTTGCAATAGATTTACAATCAGTTAGTTCATTGTCATTTACGAGAATTTTGGATGGTATATTGTTTCTTATTGGTCCAAGAGAAACAATGCTTCTAATACCCCTCCAAACATTCTTAATGTTTTTCATATTCCTATTAAAGTGTTTATTGTAGTAATCTATCTTACTAGTTTTTATTAATTGTTTCAACATATTACGATAGATTTTAAATTTGGTATAATAATACATAGATTTAGTTGGTAAATATTTTTTATACAAATTATGCTTTATATTAATTGATTTTCTAATAGCTTGGGTAATCCATGGTTTTGATAAATTTTTGATAGATTTTTTACTCAATTGCTTATATGGAATGTGTTTATCAATTACTTTTGTCAAATTAGAATAAAAAGAACTAAATTTAGTGTTGATATCGTTGCTTTGATCAGTCCAATCTATAGAATTTATTTCAGATATAAAATCAGATTCGTTAAATTTAGAATAATCTCTACGTGCAATTTTGAAATCTTTGGGAAGTGTTGAAAATTTATTAACTATCAAAAAATTTGGGAGGTGATCGCTTAAGTCATAAATAAAGTTACCACTTATGTTATGATGTGCCAGGGAGTTAAAAAAATATATTATCAATGAGAGTAGCCGAGTGAAGGGTTATTCGTGTAGGTTTCAATATATGAGGACTATAAAAGAAAGATCCGAGGTTGCTAAGAAACTCATCTGTTGCAGGGTGGTTTTCTGAGTTCAAAAGATTAATGTTAAAGTCTCCCATTATTGTGCAATATTTGTTTTCTCTATTAATATTATCTAAGGTACTATTAAGATAAGTCATGAATGCATCAATACTACTATTTGGATGTCTATAGATTACACCACAAATAATATTATGATTCAGGTCACTTTGAATTTCGATCCATAGGGATTCGAAATCTTTTGTTACTGCAGACAAGTCATCTCTAGCAAAATAATTCAATTCACTAGATATATAAAATCCCACACCACCTGCATTTGACAAACTTGGCTGTTTATTATGCAGTATTAAGTAATCAACGTATTTTGAAATAGCTGTATTCATTTAGTGCCTTGTAATACTGCCATACGAAGGTAAAGGCAAGCAACCGCCCAGTGCTGACATAAAGAAGTGGAGAGATGGAGAGTGTAAATCACGGGAAGATTTGTCTGTTGAACCAGAGAAATTACCCGTAATCCAATGCTAGATTTTAAACTCCACTGCTTTACTAGTATATGCAGCATAAAATCTCCTTGGAAGTAAAATATTTTATTTTATGTAACATGTTTCTCAAACATGTCTTCATTCTTAAGGCACATTTATAATTACACGGAACAACTTTTCCCTACAACTATCCCACCCAACAGATTAGCGGCTATTTACTCGCACGCAACTTTTAGCTTACGACACCATAAAATCTTGTACAATTCCTTCGGTTTGCCACATGAGAGACTGGGAACAACATCAAACAAATTGGCGGACAGCATCAATCGTGCTGAGGCGAAACAAACGTTTGTGACATGCCATATCTGTCTGGGAAAAAGAGTGTTTACATCGAAGAACGAGTAAGGGGATTTATCAAGATACAACAACATTTGTAGTATATTTGCAGCAATACGATTCGTCATATTTTCAAATTATATTTTACTAAAATTACTGCAATATCTTTTTTGCAATGTTCACATCCGCTATGTTGATTTCCCCCAGCATTGTCGTACGATATTAAAACATGTTTTCAAAAGGCTACAACCTTTTTCGTGTTGCATGAAACCACAGTCAAGCAAGTTTGCTCAAGACAACAATGACAAACAATCTTCTATGGTAGCTGTGATGTACTGGGTCTGATAAGGTTGCAATATCTTTTCGCATATTTCCTCGCAAAGACAAACAAAATAAGTTCAGCTTCAGCGTAAAGATTCACGTCTTACTTCATGATTAGTCAGTGGCATTATACAAGTCTACCACAGTGGCCAGTGGGGAACAGTGTGTCAATATGGTTCTTATGACTTTGATATGAGAGATGCCAAAGTCGCATGCCGACAACTTGGTTTTACCAAAACTCTAGGTTACTGGTACTTTGGACGAGGAACGGATAAAATATGGCTGTACAGCATGGGATGTTCAGGCTTAGAGTCTTCACTTGGAAGCTGTTCTCACGGTGGATGGGGAAACGTTGACTCTGGGTGCAACAGTCACACGAGGGATGTTGGTTGTCATTATGTATAGTTGAACATAACACATATTAATAACATAAATTGAAATACCTCTTGATGATCTCAGTTGATGTAGCTGATCACATTCGTGTATTTTGCAGGAGCTCATGGATTCGACCTGTGGCACCAACGACACTACGTTTTTTGAAAAATTGATTAGTATAACTTTCTTTCCATATAAGTTTGGATTGCATGCACAGCTTTAAAAAACTGATGAGTAGCCGAAACAAACTATAGTGTAGATCACAGCTAAAGCTATTTTATTTACTAGCCTCTTTTTTTTGTTGTTGTTGTTTTAATGGCTTTCCAATATGAAAGCTAACGTCATTTTTTAATTTTTGAACAYGCGCTATATCTAGCTGATTAATAACATTTTTTAAACGACAGGGATAGGAAGTAGCTCCAAGAACAATCTGGTCTAAGGTTCAACTGGAATGTAAGTAACTTATATAATTCTTGTAGAACCTTTTCTTTTAGCCCATTCTTTTTTCGCCAAAGTAAGTCAATGTGTATTTTTTTCTTTTGTTAAAAGCGTTTAAAACATTTCCTAAACCTTTGACTAGTTCTATAGCTTCATTTTAGTTACATACAGTTTAAATGTTAGTGATTTAAATTCAACTGCCTATGCCATACTCTACCTTTATCTAATAAACAGACTTCTAAAATAGACTTWAAAAAACAAGCAAATTAAGCAAACAAGTATGCAATTGATAAGTGAGGATCTTAATCTTAAAATAGGATGTTATAAATTGTGTGGACCATAACTCAAAGGCCAATGGCCAGAAATATTCCTAGGACAAAGTTGATCAGTTCAGTCTTATCAAAAACTTATCTGTTCTATAAACAATGGTGAAATAACTATTATTATAAGTGGGTTTTTTTTGTATTTCGCAATGAGTTTTTATGACTTTAAAACCAAATAAAGAAACAAATTCACGAACGGCACCACAGATGCATGCTAGGTGAAAGCCCAAGATCGAATTGAAATTTCTAGAAGTTGATTTTTGCGGAGGGAGGAAAACCTGAGAACCCGGAGTAAAACCATCGAAGCACAGGAGAGAACCAAAAAAGCAACTCTACTCACATACGAAACCGAGCACGGCTTGGCTCGAACTCGGGTCGCATTGGTGAGAGGCAAATATGAGAGACACACTTCTTCTGATTAGTCGCTCACTATAGCTAACAAGAATAACATATGATGTTGGTGTGCTATTCTTATCACAACATACAGAAATACCATGACTTCACTTT